TTTTTTTTTGTTTTTTTTTTTTTTCCTGTTTTTCACAGGGTTACCCGGTCCCATTCCTACCGCAGGGTGTCCGGGGACCCTCCATCCCGCCTCGGAAGCTTTTTTTTTTACCTGAGAAGAGACGGATAATCTTCCCCCGCCCAGGGCAGGGCTTTGCGGGGCCAAAAAAGGCGGCCTCCCTTCACGGGCAGGAGGAAGGACGGCCTCCCCCACACCCCGGTGTCCCCTCAGGGCCGGACCCCCACACCCACCACGGCCTCCTAAAAAGCCTTTCCCCCCCCGCCCCGCCTCAGCTTCCAGCGGGAAGGCGCGGTCCTGCCGGAGGAGGACTACATTTCCCAGCATGCCCTCGGGGAGCAGGGGAAGGGCGGGCGAGGCGGTGGCGGCAGAGGCGCTCAGGCCGGCCGGCGGGCAATGGAGGCGGGGTGCTCGGGCGCGCTGCCGGCGGGGTCGGGGGGGCCGCGCCCCCATCTAGCCGCCCTGGTGCTGGCCCGCGGGGGCAGCAAGGGGATCCCGCTGAAGAACATCAAGCTGCTGGCGGGGGTGCCGCTCATCGGCTGGGTGCTGCGCGCCGCCAGCGACGCCGGCGTCTTCCACAGGTGCGCATGCGGGGGGGGGGGACACGACTGCGTGACATGGCGGCGGGGGGTGTGTGGCCGTCCCAGGGTGAGGGGAGCGGGGGTCGCCCTGGGCAGCCCCTTCGCTTCCCAGCCGGCTTCTCTCTGGTGGCAGCCGTAGTCTCCCCGGGGTGGCTCCAGCCCCGCTGGACCTGAGTGAGGCGGGTGTGCGGTGGGAGGGGGAGCCTCCCTCACGATGAGGGGTGCCCGTGGCCTGGCAGCCGGGGAAGGCCCCGGCGTGGTGTGGGGCTGCGCCCCACCGTGAGCTCCCTTCACTCTCCCTTCCTGGTGAGGGTGAGCCCTGAAGGAGTCAGAGGCTTCCATCTCTGTGAAAGAGAATTTTAAATTAAGTTGTTCGTGGTGGGGAGCTACTGATTTGCCGGTAAGCATTGACATTGTTACTTCACGAAGATGGCTGCCTTCAATGAAAGTGCCGGGCTGTAGGTAGTGTCCCTCCTCCCAGGGTGACTTTGGTTGGTGGTTGTCAGGTCCTACCAGAGGTGGGCTGGTTGGGGTTGCTGGGACAGGGTGCAGTTAAAAAAAAAAAATCAAAAATCCCTATGCAGCCTCGCAGTGGTAGTCTGTTACTTCATTTTATCCATCCGGTTTCTACAGGTAAGTTCATAACAACTTAACACCGGCTGTTTCTAGCTGGGTATCCCCAGAGATGGAGACCCCAGAGCCTTGCCAGGAGCCGATTTCAGTGCCTGATCACCCTCGTGGCTGAAAAATTGGTTTTGTGGCATCTAATCCAGCCGGCTTCTCTCTGGTGGCAGCCGTAGTCTCCCCGGGGTGGCTCCAGCCCCGCTGGACCTGAGTGAGGCGGGTGTGCGGTGGGAGGGGGAGCCTCCCTCACGATGAGGGGTGCCCGTGGCCTGGCAGCCGGGGAAGGCCCCGGCGTGGTGTGGGGCTGCGCCCCACCGTGAGCTCCCTTCACTCTCCCTTCCTGGTGAGGGTGAGCCCTGAAGGAGTCAGAGGCTTCCATCTCTGTGAAAGAGAATTTTAAATTAAGTTGTTCGTGGTGGGGAGCTACTGATTTGCCGGTAAGCATTGACATTGTTACTTCACGAAGATGGCTGCCTTCAATGAAAGTGCCGGGCTGTAGGTAGTGTCCCTCCTCCCAGGGTGACTTTGGTTGGTGGTTGTCAGGTCCTACCAGAGGTGGGCTGGTTGGGGTTGCTGGGACAGGGTGCAGCTGGGTATCCCCAGAGATGGAGACCCCAGTGCCTTGCCAGGAGCCGATTTCAGTGACTGATCGCCCTCGTGGCTGAAAAATTGGTTTTGTGGTATCTAATAGACGCTTTTGTTCTTGAGGTCGGTGTCCTCTTACTACACTTGTCCAGGAGTAGTTTTTCTCTCTACCTGCCCGCCAGGTACTCTCTACCTGCCCCCCAATAAAGTCACCCCCTTGCCTTCTCTTCATAGGACTGCATCAAGATGGCTCCTTCATCCTCTCCTGGTATACGTGAGCTCCCAGGCCCCTGTCGTCGTGCTGGCTCTCTGCTGGGCTTCCTCCAGTTTTGATTCCTCGTATCGGGGAGCCCGCAGCAGGGCACAGCCCGTCAGAGGCAGTCTCATAAATGTCGAGTGGAAGGAAATAATCCTGTGCCCAACAGAACAGGAGCTCAGTTTATGTCAAAGTGTGCGAAGCTTTGGTATCGATAGCTAGACAGAAACAAGTATGTTGTTAGCTTTAAGAATATGGGCATTACATATTTCTTTTTTTCTGCCAGAAAATTCTGAGAATTTTCTAGACACATACTGATAATTAAAACAAGGTTAAGACGCACTTGGTATGTCACATGCCTATCTGCAGGTTCCCAATGCAAACCCGCTGCGTTATGTTCAGAGCGGGGACTTGATGCAGTCAAGGAGAAATGTAGACCAGCTAGATTCAGAGCTGGAAGTAAGCACGAGCCTTCTGTATCTCATAGCTGCTGTATCGTTGTCAGTTCTGGAAATCCTTTTTTACTGTATCTGAAAAGTAGAGGAAGTATTGCTGTCTTCGTTTTTTGGGGTTTTTTTTAATAACGAAGCAAAGACGTTTCTTACCTAGGTTACAGATAATTAATGCATGTGAATCCACGTTGCTTGATGACCTGTGGTGGGTATGGTGGTTTGAGCAACTTCCTCATTTTCTGTTTGCAATCTGAATTTGCCCAACGGGAGGCAAGTTGGGGTTACGTAGCTTAACCTTGAGGCTTAACAGGCGCATTAGAAGGAAGGGCGAGAGGTTTTCTAGTCACCTTTGAAGCAGCTGTGCTGACAGGCCACATGTTACACAACAAAACTCTGTTGGTTGAATGGGAGTGTATATTTAAGCTAACTAGCCTGAGCAGTTTATAGAAAGTACCTGTTCTGCATTTGTTCACATGGGTGTGACTTGACATTGCTGTCTATGGCATACATATTTTTATTCTGATGATCCCAGGATGTCTTTGGATGAAAAAATTAAAGAACCATTTGCTATCTGTTGAAATGCCAGTGTTGCTGAGAGAAGGATTACTTTTCATAGGTATTGTTTTTATATCTCACATGCTTTTTTTGTCACAATGATGGCAGCAGTGGCCTCACAGTGCTCAGGCAGTATTTATCATCACATAATATGCAGACTTAGCCCTTCCTTTTGTAAATGTTTATTATCACTGAACAATTGCAATCTTGCTTTACCAGTATTGAAGGTTTTCTGTACCAAAACCATATGTGATTGTAACTTGAACAGCTCTTTCTCTGAAATTGTATGGAGCCTAATTAACACATTTTAAAACACTTGCAGAATAAGCTAATCTTCTAACTGTGTGGCAGTTTTACTTCTTGTCAGCCTTGTTTCTGAACTCTTAAATGATTTTGAATGCCTCATTCAATCCTTTCACAACTCATTGATCTGTTAGGATGCCTAAGAGATTGTGGTGTGCTGACACTGGATTTTTCTGGGAACACTTCTGAATTTTATGTTGCTTAGGCTTCCTACATGGAAGGTAGATCAAGGACCCTACAATATTAAATTGAAATGCAGCCCAGGCTTGAGATTTTACAATCTAGTAGATGTGTGTGTTTTACCCCTATTGTTAAAAGTTGCTTGTTGGACAGTTTTACAAACACAAATACAAGAACTAGTTCATTTCATAGAAAGGTATACCAGGGTGTTGTTCAGGTTAGATTATGGCAGGCAAGTCAGCAATGCTGGGATTTATTCACCACAACAGTTCTTTATATTAATTTCTGTCACTGTCTGCCAACAGTGTATGGGTTTCTACAGACCATGATGAAATTGAGAAGGTTGCAAAGCAGTTTGGCGCTCAAGTTCATCGCAGAAGCCCTGAAGTTTCTCAAGACTCCTCAACTTCTCTAGAAGCTATCAGAGAGTTTCTTAATCATCATCCTGGTAAATCAGTAGTAAAATATGCTGAGCTTTTATGTTGTAGCCCAGAGGGATGATGTACTTATTATTTAGAAAAATAAGTAAAGCCTTTACTTACTAAGTAAAGCCTAGAAGGATTCTCCTTTTCTTTGGTGGCATCCACTCATACCATGCTTTGCAATTGTGTGTATTAAAAATATTCATTGTTTCATAAATGTTTGTTTGTTTTTCTTTAGAGGTTGATATTGTAGGAAATATTCAAGCAACATCTCCCTGTTTACATCCCAGTGATCTTATAAAAGTGGCAGATCTGATCCAGAAGGAGGGGTTTGATTCTGTCTTCTCTGTTGTGAGACGGCATCAATTTAGATGGAGCGAGGTGAAAAAAGGAGGTAATGTTCAGTTGTTTCTAGTTACAGTTATACTTAAGAAAATCCTTTTTTTCAAATGGTTCATTTTCATACCCATGGTATTTACATTAGGAAGTGATATCAGTGGCAAGGGAGTTCTTGGAGAGGTGTGAGCTTAGAAATTCCTTTTAAGTAGTGCTGTGATACCACATTGCTCAGCCTTTTTGTAATTGTTTTGTAGAAATGATAAGGTATTGAAAATCACAATGTCACTAGCTTGTCCAGGCTCAAAATATAGCTCCCCAAATCTTTACATGTTAACATCTTCTTGGTGGGTGTTCACGTGCAGGTAGCTATGACACTGAGGTCCTGTCTTAACAAGGAAGGTGTTTGTTTTTACTATACAGTATCTAACAAATTGCAAATAATGTGAGGTAAACTCTTAGTGGAGATGGGATGGTAACTTCCTAGCCTGGAGGCTTAGGTTTTGTTTCAGCCTGCTAATTTGGCTGCTGACTTATGTCAAATTGCAAACTGTCTTTGAGTCATGAAGGCTGAACTCATGTTAATGAGCTCATACAGAAGAATATGACTATTTAGCCCAAGAAAATATGCCTCTCGGCTACAGTTGCCAAGATGACTAAAATTGGAACTCTTTACTTACAGATGGTACCTTGTTGTAGCTATAGAAGTACCTTTTGTCCTTGTATGAAGAACTATTTCACACAATATCTATGTTGATTTTGTTTTTGTGATTAAAGCGGAAATGTTTGCTTCTTTTTCTCAAAATACTTAATGCAGACACTGCCACATCGTTATTTTTATTTTTCAAAACCAAATGTGTCGCTCAGACATTACAATTATTTTGCTGAGATGGAAAAAAAAAATCATCTGAGGCATTTTATATGGGTTTACAAAGCATCTGGCTGTAAAAGAGCTCGTGAAATAAATGAAGCTTGATGGTAGAGTTAAGTTGGAAGAATAATTAGGCCTTTGTTTAAGCTAAACAGATAATTTGAACATTATCATCGTTCCTCATAGGAAGAGAAATAATGTGACACGGTTTGTTAGTAAGGTGTAAGAGGAGTATTGAAATCGTGGATAGCAGTTTTGGGTTCTGTGGCTTGCATTTTAGACAACCAAGTTAAAGTCCAGTTCACATCTTGAGATGCTAGAATGGACATCTGTGAAAGGCTAAATCTTATTTGGATGTACAGTGTGGCTTTCTAAAGTCATTGTGTGCCACCTAGACTCTATAGTTTGATTATTAAAATAAAAAAGCCTCAAGACCTACCTAAAAGAGCAAACAGTTCTTTAATATGAGATGACACCTAAGTCTTTTAATGTGGCGAGAGATAAAGAATCATTCAGTTCACCCCCCTCACCCCCCCCCCCCTTTTTTTGGCAGCTTCAAAATACTGATTACATTAAAAGAATTTTATATCTTCCTGTGTATTTGTGTTGTTCCTTCTGCATTAAGGTTTAATACTAATGCACCTTGAAGGCAAAAGGTGTCTCTCTCTGACTGGAAATGTTTACTTCATTGAGTACAAAGCTCTAGTGTATTTATGAAATACAAGGTGTGTATATATACTAAAGCCTCAGGATGTTTTGGGTGTTTGAGAATGCCCTTTAACTTTTTTGTGGTTACTAGATCATGAGACCGGGTGAATTTTAGCTCCTTTGTGCATGTGGATTTAGTTGACGTCAGAACAGAAGTCTCTGTCCTTGGTTCCTTTCTGCTGCACGCACTGCTGGCACGGATAACAATACGGGGGCTTCTGGGTCTGTGTTTGTTCAAAGTTACTACCTTGTTTATTTTTGGACGCTGATTAAACCACTTTACGAAATATAATGTGTATCCTTAAATAGGAAGTATTTTGGGAAAGTGCCAAGATGTTTTCACAGGCAAAATTTCTTCTCGTACGCTCTGGTTTTTTCACCTTCCAGATTTCAGGTTGGTCCTCTCAGCTCTCAGAGTTCATTCAGGGCATTCCTGAGTTTAGGTGTAGGTAGCTGAATGGTTTTCTTGGTGTTTACCCTCACTGTGAGTTAAACCCCTTCCTATCACATACTAGGAGAGTAGGGAAGGAGTACAGTATTTCTTACACATTGGTGAGGACAGTGTAGAAGAATGTTCCCCTTACTCCTTTTAGTAACTGGTTTTGAAGCTGACAACCTCTCGGGGGTTTTTTTTTTGGTTTGGTTTTTTTAAGTTCGAATTAAAAATTTCCTTTTTGTTTGCTAGAAATGAGTTTGCTCTTTCTTGGAGCTGTGGATAACAAGCAATTCAGTGATTGTTTATAAAGCTAAGCAACAAAAGGCAGTAACGAAACAAGTTGGTGACTGAATTGTGTCCTTAATTTTTCAACAGAACGCTATTTAAAGAAAGTGAAGTGACTCTGAATGGGGATCCTGGAGAACTTATTTTGTCATTTTTCTCTGCTCGCAGAAAACAAGATGACAGAGCCCCAAAACCTGAATCCAGCAAAACGATACCGGAGGCAAGATTGGCCTGGGGAACTTTATGAAAATGGCTCATTTTATTTTGCCAAGAGGCATTTGATTGAGAAAGGCTACTTGCAGGTTAGCGCTTCTGTTTTTCATGCTCTTTAGAATAATGCATGTTTTACTTTTGTTATGGAGGGTTCTGAATTCAATAGTGTATTTCTGGTTTTGATGCAGTCAGTACAAAGTAACAGCCCTTTGACCTCAGGACAGGTCGCTTATTATGTGTAACTTAACAGGCCTAGCTGTACCTAGGGTAGCTCCAGTAACAGCATCATCCACACAGCAAACAAATGTATACAAAAAATATTGAGCAGTATGTAGCTATAAGCCTAAGACAGTACAAAACTGAATTTCTCATCAGTTTGCTATGATCTAAGTGTGTATCTTATATTTTATTTTAGTGGTACTAAGGGTGTGAAACTGACCTTCACGCAGTGTCATAGGACTCTCATCTATAACTTGTATTCTTGCCCAGTGTAGTCTTATGCCAGTTTTGTGCTGTAACTTAAACAGTCTTTTTCTCTTTCTTGCCGCCTGTGTCCCAGTGTAGTAATGCAGAACACATGTATTTGCTTCAGCTTTTGTTTGTCTACAAGTATAACCTCTTAGTTTTCTCATGCAAGACAAGTTCTCAGTCTTACAGAGCATTTCCAGTATTTGTCAGCAGAGCTGAAAAAAAGCCCAATGTAGGTCTTTCCATGTTTCGAAAGGGAATACCTTACTAGGTATGTCAAGAATACCAGATCCTTATTTCTCTCTTTTCCAGACACCTCATTAATGCAGAGTTACTAGCTTTAGGTCTCTGTAATTTGCACAGATCCATGTAGTGTCAGCTAGTGCTGTGTGGACTTGCAAGCGTTGATCTGGATAGTACAATTGTGCTGAATTCTACAGGCTGGGCCCTCTGAGGATCAGGGCTTTTTCACGCAGTGTCATAGGACTCTCATCTATAGATATATAGGTTTTTTTAATTACATTAGGGTGTGGCAGATACCTTTTCCAATTGAAATTAAGTCTTTGTGTAGATAGTGAACAAAAAATAAGCATACTCTTAGTAAGTAAATGCTAAAGATATTACTATTGTACTGTATTAAGAGACCTAGTGAAATCAGTGTGGCATAATGACTATAATGCATAACACCTTCTTGCATGCTTTCTCTAGTTGTAAAATGAAAATACATATTAACCATTGCCTATAGAAAGTTGTTTCCAATGCTTGGTTCTGTGTCACTGGCAAAAACATCATTATTGATGGTTCACTTACATTTAAGCTACTGTGACTACTGTGTAACCAGATACTTAGCTCTCATTACACGGTACTAAATTGTATAGCTTTGTATTTGTATTAACCCAAGCAGAAAATTTTAATGAGTTCTATTTTATTTAGGGTGGTAAAATGGCCTACTATGAAATGCGTGCAGAGCACAGTGTGGATATTGATATAGACATCGATTGGCCTATTGCAGAGCAGAGAGTATTGAGGTAAAAGCACTCTTTATTCCTATATTTCTTTGATATCACTCATTGTTTCAAAGTATCGTCATGTGAATTCATAATGTAAATAATCAAAATCAAAGATAATTGGACAATTTTATTTCTGCCCATCGTTTTTTCCTATCTCTGGTGAAATCATCTGAATTATCTTTTTTTCTTTAAAAAAGGTGGGTTGTTTTTTTTTTTTTTTTTTTTTTAAAAAAGTTCACCTTGGGGAAAAGCATAGCCCTACTATACCATAGAAACGTGTTAACATAATCTCTGGCTTTTCCAGCTGGGTTGTCCTAGGTTTCCATGGTCTGGACCACATTTCCTGATGCCCAGGACTGAGAGTGTTCATGCAGAAGGCATGAGCTGATTACATCTTGCCAACTGCCTTTTCTTTCCGGCTACTCTGCACCTCTCTAAGCAAATAATCATAGAATCATAGAATTTCCCAGGCCAGAAGGGACCTCCAAGGGTCATCTAGTCCGACCCCCCCGCAGTCAGCAGGGACACCCCCAACTAGACCAGGTTGCCCAGGGCCTCGTCGAGCCTCTCCTTGGATATCTCCAGGGAAGGGGCCTCAACCACCTCCCTGGGCAACCTGTTCCAGTGCTCCACCACCCTCACAGTGAAGAACCCTCTCCTCATCTCCAGTCTAAATCTGTTCCCCTCCAGCTTGAAGCCATTGCCCCTCATCCTGTCACTACAGGCCTTTCTAAACAGGCTCTCCCCAGCCTTCCTGTAGGCTCCCTTCAGGTACTGGAAGGCTGCTATTAGGTCTCCCCGGAGCCTCCTCTTCTCCAGGCTGAACAACCCCAGCTCCCTCAGCCTGTCCTCGTAGCAGAGGTGCTCCATCCCCCTG